CTGCTTTTATTTTTGCGTCCGTTTGAAAGAAGTCAAAATTCCAAAGAAAGTCGTCCAAATTGGAGAGAGTTGCTTTTCGGGGTGCATCAAATTGAGTAAAGTGGAACTCCCAGAAAGCTTAACTACAATGGGAAAAACATGTTTTACACAATGCGACAATTTGATGGAAATCGAATTGCCAAAGAAACTTGTGATCGTCACAAGTTTGTGTTTTCCAACTTATACAAAGGTGTTCAGAAAATAATATAACGTATTGTTATAATTACTGTTTAAAACACAAATAAAATGGAGTGTTGTCAATGAGTCATTTTTTGTTTTTTGTTATCAAAAATTCAATAAACAAAACAACAATTTGAATAACATTTGAAATTATAAAAGTTCTTTTTTAAAGTCTACTAAATAACTTTTACAGATAAATGAATTTTGTTATTCAATAATGATCATTTATTAACGAGAATACTCATTGAATTGATTTGTTTTGGATTTATTAAAATATTGTAAAAGTGAGCATTTTGGTATCAATTTACTTTAATGATAATAAAATATTTGCAAAATTAATTTATTTGAAAATTGTATATTGAAAAATTAAAAAATGTCAGTGTGAAGAAATACACATACGATTATTTTTGTCACATACAGCTTGAAAGCACTTATATTTGAAAAAATTTATTTAATTGTAAACAATACAATTTCAACAATAAAAAGACGTCAATTTATCATAACAAAAACGGGTGACTTAAAGAAATAATGATACAAACATAATTTGACAAATTTTCAATGATTTTAAGCAAAAATCAATTGAATAAACTCTTTTACAAAAAACCCAATATATTATGTAAAATATTTTTTTGATTAAAATATTAATATAAATTGTATATTATAAATAGTATTAAATTTTAATAGGTTATACTATTTTATTTTTTATTAATAATTACAACCCCATAATTGAAAAAAATGGAAATCGTATTATAATTAATAAAAAAATTAATAAATGATAAGCAAGTGATCGAGTGTGACCAACTAAATTCGTCACCAGAAACCAAATGCAAGAAGATTCATTTGGCTGAGCTCGTTTGAATAAGACTGATGCTCGTTGAAGTAAAGAAAGCCCTGTCCTCTTGACGCCTTTGATCTGCCCGTCGGGCTAGAGGTCTTTGGCCGAAGCAACACGGCTATATTTTTTTATAAAGTACATTATTGACTGTAATTATGAATAACTTAAAAATAACATTTTTTATGTAGAAATTTTTGTATAACGACCAACAAAATTTAATTTTATTTTTTTGAACAACGGTTTATTAATATAAATCATCAATTTGTCCAACAATGATAATTGTTTAAATTATTAAAGTCTTCAATATTTGACAAATATGAGATGTAATAGAGTTAATTGGAAAATGTCTGGCTCGACAAAATAATTCATATTTTATTATAAACAACCATTATCATATATTTCTATTTTCATTGTTATAAAAATTTCATATAATTATCAAGCTAAACAAAAATTCAATAAAGATATTAAAATGATATATTTGGGATTTAATCCCGATTTTGAACACTTAATATATATAAGTTATATTTGGAATTGTCCTTAGTTGTTTTAATCTTTGTCTTTTACATACAAAACGTTTCACTAATTCACAAGTGGATGGAATAAATGATAAGCCTTTTTTGAACATTCGCTGCAATTTGTTGGTTATTTGACATCATTTTCAAATCAAATATGTTGTAATAAATTCATTGCATCAAATAGCTACATATAAGTTTTTGATATTTGCATTGTGTTGTATCACTATGTGATTGACTATATAATTTGTTTGATAACTTTTGGTTATAAACTTGGGCCATAAAGTCCGACACGTTAAAACAGTATTTTTTTCTTTTGTTTTTCGGGATATTAATATATTTTGTCGAAATTTATACCTGTTTTACTTATCATTATTTTCCTTTATTTCGATTTTTTGCGTCTTATTTTTTGATTTTTATTTTTCTACTTACACTACAATTTCCTTATTTCAAAATCATGAAATATTTTGGTTTATAAAACACGAAAAATTAATTTCATACCCAAATTTTATACAAAAATCGCAAATTTAATCAATATTATAACATTTGAAAAATGAAAATAAAATTATTTTTTTTCAATTCGTTGATTTTTGAGATAACAACGAAAAACACGACTTAATTATAATTCTATTATTAAATTAAATTAAAAAGTGTATCAAAATTTTATATGGAAACACATGAAATTAATTAAAACACCACAAGTAACAAAAAATTTTTATTTTCGTTATGTTGAAAATAGTAAAATATTAATTATAAAAATGTAAATATATAATAATTGATTAATTTTGTTTTTATAGATGAAATATAGGTGATTCGAAATATTAATTGGAATAAAAATACTTTTTTATATTATAATAAAAATTAACAATTATTACTTGTTTTTATTTGACTTTTATAATACTTAATCATTTCATTATTAATTTATAATAGAATTTGTTTAATAATAATATGAAAAAACAAAGCAAATTACATTATTGTTTCATGACAGAAATATATAACAATAATGACATTTGTAAATGGAACACTTTTATCAATTATTGTTATTATAATAAAATGTATTATAATTATTGTTTTGTTAACAACAATTATAATCAAAAATTCATATTTTTGTTAATGCTAAAAAACTATTTTTACTTATCAAAACAAAGTAGTTACTTTATTTATAATTTGTGAAAACAATGAATGTTTTAATGAACGTTTTTGTGGGATGAACAAATAAATAATTGAAGAAAAAACACATCAAAAATAATATAAGAATTATAAATGCTCATAACATTTAGCTCATTTCCCGTTTTTCTTGACATAATTCATTAATTATTTCAATAAAAATTTTAAAAAATAGCAGAAAAACAAATCCGAAAGTCCAATACGTCGGACTTTGTGTCCGGAGTTTACATTCTTTTTATTTGCCAAATCATCATTTTAATTAAAAAAAAACAAACATCAAGTTGTTGTTATTGACTGTGTATTGTATTGACACAAGCACAACAACAAAAATATCATTACTAATTTAAAATGTCAATTTATTGGCGTGAATTAAAAAAAATAACCTAAAGTTTTTTTTTATTGTTTGTATTTTATTTTTAATCAATGTTTTTGAAAGAATACATTATTTTCAACATATAACAATATATAATATATTTTACAATATTTGCTAATGAGCCAGACTATTTTTAACTACTCTATAAAAATTTTATGAACACTTTTGAAACAATTGAAAGCAGTTATCCTCGTTGAGTACATTGCTGGTGATATCAAAGTTATTAAAATGGCCACGTTAAAATCGACTTTAAAAAACTTGTACGAAAACACTTTTCTTGGATATTTGTATGTAGAATTTCGTATTTATCTCCACAAATTTTTACGTGTTCGATCTGCATTCACACATCATAAAAAAGTATCATTTGCAGCTGCAGTGGAAATAAAACGTAGTCAACTGAAAACACTCCAAAATGATGAATTTGGAGTGTTTTCACAAACAATACAATACTAAACATAATGAATATTATCATTGATGATTTGAGTGTTTTCAAATCCAAAGTGATTATCATGAAAAAGTAGTAAAAAGACTGGGTTGTTCAAATTTTCATTGATTTTATTCATCAATTTTTAATTGATGATTAATCGAACTATTAAGAACCATTAGGTACCAATAAAGATGTCAATAAAAGGGAAATAAAATCAGTAAGAATTATCCACAATACACTTGAAGAGTGTTATCCAATTAAGTGGGTATAAACCGAAAATTACAAGAAATACAAGAAGTTGAAAATAGCGACGTAGTGATTTGTAAACAACGATAGAAGTACCACAAAGACTTGTGATTTAAATATTTCGTTTCATTAAATTTGTTTCAAAGAATTATTTACTATGTCTACTGCTCTCTGACTAAAATTTATTGTTATGATTTGAAACGAATTTTGAGGATAGTAACATAATAACCATAAACAGAAGCGTATATTGAGTTGTCTGTTCGTAAATTGGAATAAAAATATCAATGGTAACACATCTCAGTTTATTGAAAAAAGTTCGATACCACAAAAAGAGATTATTTTCTTCATTAATGATGGCGGAGTTTGTTGCTTTGAAGTATTGATTGGTATTAATAATCAGTAGTTTTTTATAAAAGACAAACAAATATAATTTGTTTTGTCCTTAGAAAATAATCTTTGTTTTTAGGAACAAAGAAATATAAAAACAATTATAATATATTTTTTTAATATTTTTCTAAAAATTATTATTTATAATATATTTATAATATATAAATGATAAAATATAATAACACTCATATGGAATCAATTATATCCTTGTGATTCTTTTGTTTTTTCTTCCCATTTCTGTTTTTTTTGTTTTGTTTTTTTGTAAGATAAGTTAGCCCAGTTCCCACTCCATACACACGATGGTGTAACACATTAATTTTCTGGTGCTCTGCCATATTTTCTAAGCT